AATCTCACATAATGTTCCATGGGTGACAGTTGTTCCAGCAACCTGCAGACTATCAGCTTCTTGATGCTCTGCTGCTCCAGGTACTTACTGCCAAATTACATGCTGTTCACAGCAATTATATGCTTGCAGGAATAATGATTTTTACTGTTTGACAAGCCACCTCTCCCTTTTCTACCTCTTGTAAAAAAAAAGACTTCATCAGCATGATGACAAAATCTTAGCCAAAATAATTTGTTTATGAAACTTGATTTCTTTAAAAAATGGGCTAGAATGAACACCCCAGCTGTCAAGGACTAAAAAAATAATGTGGAAATACGCCAGTAACTTCTTAAAAGTCCATTTGATTTAGCTGATATTTATTTCAGAACATATTCATATATACGTTAAACACTTACATAGAATGCTTGACTAGGATCTTACTAATTCTCTAACCTGCACATCCTGATCAAAAGCACAAAAGCACACTGCGTTTTGTAGCCAGTATAGAGAATTGTGAATCATTTAGGTTGGGAAAGACCTTCAAGATCATCATTATTACACAAAATATCTTTTTTCTTCAAAGTGAGCAACTGTTTTCAAAATTCTTAGTACAGAAATTAGAACGCACTAGATTATTTTTATAATTTCAATTTATTACATTACCGGGGTAAGCTTTCTCCAGAATCTTCCATAAACATGGACAGGTTTGCTCCAGGCTTTTCAGCCAGATAAAACAGAAACCCTTCTAGATGAATAAGTCTAGAAAAGGAATTACTAAATCTCTCACTAGCTTCTCAGTACTTTGAGTAAGTAAGAGTAAACTGAATTAAAGCTCTGACTAGTAAGATAATACTGGGGTAAGAATGTTAGCCTTTCAGCACTGGTTGCTCATAAACTGCACCTTTGGACTTTGGGGAATTTGGTTCCATCTGTGAAAATAGCTGTCATGTTCATCACAGTGCACCAAAGCATAAAAATAGTAGACCACAGAAGAAACGAGGAAAAATACCCATAACTTGCTGATCAGAAACAGAGATGGGATTTTCTTGTTTCTTTTTTAGCAAGAAACTAAAAGATCTACACAGAAAGTAATGTCTCTTATTTATTATGTTAGCCCACCATGTCAGAGGTTGACACTGGTGGTATAGCAGTAGAGGCTGGACCTTCCCATCAGTATTCCACTACATGTTATTGCTGTATGACAGATGGCAGCAGAGGGGCACTCTGACAGAATGGTTTCTGACATGGAAGTGTGTATGAAGCAAAGGTGTGGAATTAAATTCCTCCATACAGAAAAAATGGCACCCATTGGTGTTTACCAGTGCTTGCAGAATGTTTAATGGAGACCAAACAGTGGATGTGAGCACAGTGAGATTGTGGGTGGTGCTTTTCAGCAGTGATGACAGCTGACATCAGAGAGGGGCACCTCCACTGGTGCAGATTTTTACAAGTGTGACATGCAGGCTGTTGTACAACACTGGTGAAAATACAGAGCAAATGGTGGGGACTATTTTGGAAAAAATGTGTTTTGTAGCTGAGAATTTGTTATATCGAAGAGTGTTATTGTGCTCACAGTAACTGTTGTAGTTTCCATGGAGATAAATAAAAGGCTTTCAGAGAAATCTATGTCAAATTGTGCCTGTGGGCTCAATGCATAAACAAGTTCCAGGAATTCACAGGTGCATGCAAACCTATGTCCACTGTCAATACACTCCTTCTGCAAACCCTTGTTGTAAAGTTTCTATAGACAAGACACTGTTAGTTCAGTTAATGTAGACAGTGAACCTTAAATATTTAGGAAAATATGTTTAGCAGACAATTGTCATGTTAGCAGTAAGAAGTCAAACTTAATCAGCATGTAGCACACAGTTAATGTGGTGTTTTTTGATTACTAAGGCATAAAGACTGGACTTATCTGTTAACTGTCGCTATTCAGGAACCATTATTCTTATGAAAAATCTATATAAATGCAACAAGTGTGTTTGTTTTCAGTAACATGTACCTTTCCAGCTTGCCAAAGTGTTTTGTCCCCAAAGCCTGCCCAAACAAGCTTCCCTCTTTCTATTCTCTCTGTTCTCCAGATGGACCCAATCTGCTCAATGGAGAGTACATGCTGACTTTTGAGAAATACACATCGTGACTTGGGAACACAGCACTCCAGCAATATGCCAGTCTAAGCTTCAGAATGATTCAATGCTCTTAAAAGAGTGGAGCAGCATATCTTTGTCAGATAACTCAGAAGCCAGAATTACTGTTTTCAAGGGCAGTAAAGCTTACTAAATAAATTACTAAATTTACTAAATAAATAAATCAGTAAAGCTAATTTATTTATTGAGAGACAAATAGATTCTCACTTGCACAGCTGGAAAGAGAACAACAGCCCAACATATTTACAGAGCCTATCAGGGGAAGCAGATTTTTTACTACTCTGCTCTTTGAGGGATTGCCTCCCCAGCTGCTGAGGCACAGCAGAGTCCTCAGGCTGCACACTCACCTGCTCTTTGTATTGAGAGGGGTAACTTCACAATAGAACTAGAGAACAAGAACACACTCTTGAAGACTGTCTCTTTCTCCTTTTCTCTTTCTTATTTTAATAAATATGGAATCTAATTTCATAGTGCCTTTGGACTAATGGGCTGTTTTAGCTTCTCGTGAGCTGCAGCAGTAGGCTCATAGTACTTACTGAAAAAACGTGTTGACTGGACTTTAAAACACTGTTTCCTGCCCACCCTAGGTTGAGTAAGCATTCCTGCTCGTACTTTAGGGACTTCTCTGGGTAAATATTTTTAATAACTGTAAGAGTAACAACAGAGAAGTATATGCAGGCCATTTTCCTGTCTTTGTAACCTACACTTACACACAGCCTACTTTACTTAAAATAGATTTTTATACTATATATCTTATTAAGCATGTTTTCCAAATATGTTTCTGAATACAAACTCAGATGCACACAGCACAGAGACAGCTAAGTTTACAATCTAATCAAAACTACTCATTAAATAGGCTAGTGGAAATTTCTGTGTTGCAAATCCAGGCAACTTTGATCTCTCATCCTCTGTGGTCTCATCTCATCACATATCTTATGTACTCCCATTTTTTCATCAAACAAACTTACTCTTCAGAAAATAAATGAAATATTAGACATCTAATAATGATGCTCCCTGGGCATACAATTAATTCTTTAAGAGTGAAGTCCAAAGTGTTAGAACTTGAAAAGTCTGATTTCCTATAAAGCATGCAGTTTTTCTTGTGATTACATTTTTTCCTCTGGCTACTACACTTCTGTCAGATTTAAAAAAGAGATTGCTGTCTTTTTGTACAATCTAAGTAGGTAAAGTAGGAAATTTTGTTTTCCAAGACAGTTCTGTGTCCCTTTTCAGACTATATATATATATTTTTTTCTCTCTTTTCACATTTTCTCTCCACATTTGCAATTTATCTGTCTTTATGTACTGTACTGTAAGACCATTTTCCTGCCTATATCTGTTTGCACTTATCTGTTTTGATGCATACTATAATACCTTATCTGCATGCTGCAATATCACCAGTTGCTCTCACAGGGCCTTCTATGATGCCTATGATTTCAGCAGCCCTACAGTCCGGCAGTCAGGCACACAGAAACACATGAACTTAGGGAAATGATCAGTTTCACAGCCATGATCCTGAGTTCTCACAAGAGACAGCAACCTCCAGCAATCACACTTCAGACATAAAATTGTTCTAGCACAATGCTGTTAAAAATAACATTGTGAGTAAAACCAAGATACCACAGAGGAACACTGTTTTCATGTGTTCTTTTAAATATGGCTGGGTTTGTGTTAAGAAATAAAAGTTCAAAGCACTTAGGGACAAGTCATCCCCTGGCTGATAGCTCTTCAGTGACATATGGGTAAAGAATATCCATAGTGAGATAGGTTACATATCTACAGATGAACTTGTAACAAAGACACACACTTGCACAGGGCAAAATTATTGGTATGAATGCTACAGATTAAAATTTCACGTTTAACTTTGCAGGAGTAAAAGTTGTTGAAAGTCCAACATGTTCTTGTTTAGATGTCTGGAGCAATCCAGAGCTGCATTCTTCTCCTCACTTTCTCTCCTTCCTGTCTTCCTCTCTCTTTCCCTTTTACCCTCCCTTCTCCCTTATTCCAACCATTCAATTTCAACTGAAACTAAAAGGCATTGTTGAAGATGAAAGCACAAAAAACTCAAATGGTTTCAGAATACCAAACTTCTGTAAAAAATCCTCACATCCTCTTGTTACCCTACAGAACAAGTTGCAAGCTATCATCAGCCTGGAATTCCAGGAAGCTGCAATACAAACTGAAAACAAATCTCAAAAGGATTAAATTACAAAAAGGAAGGATGACTTTTCAGATAGTTTGTTTTACTACTACTAATAAAAGTATTGGAATTTAATCCCAATAACTTTAAAATGTGGTTTTGCTTTTGCTGCTACAACAGTATCTTCATGGAGGTCCTGGAAATTGTTGAGAGATCTTATCTTCTGCAAGCAAATATAGATATGTGTAAATGGACACTCTTGCCTCTGCAGAATAAGAACTGTGGATACAAGCTGTTCTCTTTTACTGTTGTCTCCATAATATAAAAGTAGCCCCACAGATATTCTACAGTAACTCTACAGTACCCTTAGAATATGGTCCCAATGGTATATAAATAATCATGCTTTATTATGTTTTCTGTAGTTGAGAAGGGTCAAATTTTAATCACAATGTCCCTAAGAATGACTGAGAAGTAAAAATATCCCTACGCTATTATTGGTCATATGCCATATTTTGCCCTGTCAAAGTAAATGTAAGGGAATTTACAAAGTGAGAAGATTTGGATTTATCACTTCAACCAGGAAGTAGATTAAAGCAAACAAAAATCAGCGTAATATAGAATAATATCCTTTAGGCATCAACAGATTGAAGAAATTCTTCAACAGGCATCTGAAAAGCTCAGTCAAACCAATGCATTGAACTCTATCTTTGTCCCTTTGTAATGTGTAAACGTACCAGCTCCTTCTTCTTCATGCACTCCATGAGGATAATGAAGAGGTGCTGTGCCTGGGTTCGAGTGTATGTGAAAGTCTTCTGGATGGTAACTAGCAACTGGTCCCGCAAAGATTCATTAATAAGTCTGAAATTAAAAAAAAAAAGAAAAAGGCAACTGAATCAGATATATCAGGAAACCTTTTAACTTCAGTTAAGGGTGAAACAAATAGGAGTTAGATAAGTTACATAAGGTAGATAAGCATCACAAGTTGTTTTCGTTGTTTGGGTTTGAAAGATAGGAATTGCTGAAAGTGTCATAGTCAAACTGAAAAACACCTTCCTAGAGAAAAACACATAGGCCATGTAGGAGTATCTCATCTCCAAAGTTTTTCTTTCAGTTCCCACACAATGAATGACAGGTCATTCAAGTGATCAGCTCTGTAGGATTTCCTAACAAAAACAAGAAAAACACATTGACAGTCTAGATTTGAGGGAGACTAGCACCTCTTGGCAAACTGTAGACCTCTTCCCATCAGTGAATTAGCAGAAATAAACTCACAGTTCATTCTGTGAAACTGGGAGCATTACTGTTGTCAACGTTTTTGATGCTACACAGGACTAGCTAAAAAACACACAAAAAGCTACTCCGTTCCTGAATCCACTCATAGAAGTCATTTTGTTTTTGTGTACTCCGATCTTCCAGAATTTTAAAGAACAACCACTTATAGGTTCCTTCTCAGTGCTAAAGTTCTTGCTTGCAAAAATAAAGGCCCAACAGCAGAAAGAAACAATATCATCTGGAATATTAGAACTTGAACCACTACCCTTGATATTGGAATGTCTATTCCTCAGCACCACTGACTCTTGGTGAAACATTATAGTACTTACTCTCTTACAAATTAGTGGGGTCTAATTAGAACATTATCCTTTCATATATGAAAGTTCCTACACTATGGCAGTTTTCTCAACTAAAACAGTTTTGAAAATTTATTGTTTCTAATTAGTAGAGTTAGAATGTTGTAGAGGATAAGTCCATGTTGATCATCTGGTGGAAAGAAAACCAGGAAATCTTCATGCCTCGTATTTTTTGATAGAAGTTAAACAAAGATTTAGTTCTGCAGCAGCTGAAAAGAACTACTAGACATACCACAGTATGTAGAAGTATTGACTTGTAGCAACTGCTTTGGGAGAACAACCAAACTCTTCTTTAATTCATGCTGTTAGTATGGGTCACTTGTACCTTTCTGGAGCAAAGTAGTGATAATGAGAATGCAGGAAATATTTTATACAGTTGAATTTGAAATACAATTTAATCTATCTTTTTCTGTCTACTGAAAATGTGAGACAATGAACAGGAACTGAAATGGGAAAGGAAGTGGGAAGAGGGAAGAAGTGTATTGTTGCACAAGAGAATACAGGGACCCTGGCAGATGGTGCGTATGTTATTCACTTTGAATTTGACACTAAGTGTATCTGCTGAGGAGGATTTCCACTCCACAGAGAAGCAGGAAAGATATATGTTAATCTGTATAAATTAAAATGAATTAATAAGGGTTTTTAGACCAAGTTGTGGCTTACTGTTCTCTCTACACCTGGCTCTTCCCACTGTCTCTTGCTCTATTACAGACTCCTCTTGAATGAAGAAGAGTCTATACAAATACTTCCACTTTTCATTGAGGAGCAGTATGGCCACAAATGCATTACTCCCTGGGATAGTGGAGAGACAGTAATAATGCATTTACAGCTCTGTGTGAGCATTCCTTCCCCCTGCAGTGTGACCTACTTCCTTTACAAAAAGGGAACATATGATAATTTAAGTAGATACAACAACAGTCTTGGCGGATAGCAGTGAGAGCTGGTAGCAGGGAATTTTATATGTGGGGTCATAAGGAAAATAACCTGATCTTCAGTATGCCATAAGGGATGTTACAAGCATATAGGAACACAAAACAAGATGTCAGAGCACAGGCAGAGATGTAGATTCTCTTCATGTTAAAGTGAATCAACTTGGAAAGGCTGACACTCTGAAGATCATTCCTTAAGTTAGGTCTCCTCAATCTAATGTATTTGGAGTTGCAGATTAGTAGGTTACATGTATGAAAATTCTGAAGTTCTTCTGTTTTTTTAAGGGTTTTTTTAAAAAGGGCAACCGAAACTCACTTTAGTGGAGATTGCTGATCTTAACAAAATGGTGCAGATAGGAGCTATCATTAAATGTAGAAATGGTTCAGTATTGTTTGATTATCCTACCATTGAACTAAAGAAGAAAAAAAAAAGAGTAATCAGAGGAACAAATTACCTGAAAATATGAAGTGAAGGGACTGAAAAGAGATGATGTGAAGTGTAAGAAAAACAACACACTCGGAAATATATGAAATCAGAGTCTTGAGGCAGGAAAGAATTTTACAAAGCATTTCCAAAGATGCTAGGATGAAACTCACATCATTTTCTCTTGGAAATTTAATTTTGTTTTAAAAAATGTGTAGAATCCAAACTTGAAGTTCTGTTTCAGAAATTAGCTTTCTCTCAATCTAAAGCAAGACAAATTTACTTTCATAAGCATTGCATGAAAGATTAATTAAATACTCAGGACTTAATTTCCTAAGCAGCCATTATTTTTCTTTCCTGAGTTAAAGCTCGCAGATACCACCACAGTGTAAGTTTAGATGGCACATAAGGCAAACTTCATGTGACAGCTATGATTAAAGTTTATTGTTTGAGTTTAAAAAAAGATATTAAAAATGGCTCCTAACTTCAGTGGAACACATCTTTCACAGTATCACTGTTCAGAAACTTGCTGATCTCATTCTAGGCTTCCCAACGTCAGTGGTCCTCAGTTCTAGAGCAAGTTCTAGACAAAGATCTTGAAGTAAGTATTCTGAAAAAAGCGCATGTAGCTAATCTGAGCTTTGTGTAAACTGAAACCGATCATACCGAGTCTATATTTCTTTCATTCCTTAAGGTCTCAAATAAAATATCCCAGTTGCCTTGTTTTACTTCCTCTTTCTGTGTTTTTTTTTTTTTTTTGAGCTGGCTAGGCTGGAGGGTTTGGTGGAAAGAAATATTACTAGGTTCAGTAACAGTAAGTGTAGAGTTCTACACCTCAGGAGTAAGAACTGCATACATATGTACTTGTTAGGTGTTGAAGTGACCTGCTGGAAAGTAGCTGAGCAGAGAAGCATTTAGGGGATCCTGGTAGACAACATGTTGGCCATGAGTCAGCAGTGTGCCCTTATAGCCCAGAAGGCCAGTGGTATCTTACAGTGCATCATACAGTGCATCACTAGGAATGACCAGCAGATTGAGGGAGGTGATCCTCCCCCTTTGCCCTGTGGAGATCACATCCGTGGTCAGTACTGTGTTCAGTTTTGGGCTTCTTAGTTCAGGAAGGACAGAGATCCACTATACACTGTCGAGTAGAGGGCTATGAAGATGATTGGGGCCTGGAACATCTCCCTTATGAGGAAAGGTTGAAAGACCTGTGACCATTCAGCCTGGAGAAGAAAAGGCTGTGAGTGAATCTTATCAATGCTTATAAACTTCTAAAGGGCAGGAGTCAAGAGGATGGGGCCAGGCTTTGTTCAGTGGTGCCCAGCGACAGGACAAGTGTCAATGGGCGCAAACAGGAGCACAGAAAGTTCCATTTGAACATGAGAAAGAACTTGTTTATTGCAAGGGTGACAGAGTACTGGAGCAGGCTGCCCAGGGGGGTTGTGGAGTCTCCTTCTCTGGAGATATTCAAGTCTCACCTGGATGCCTACCTGTGTGACCTGGTGTAGGGAACCTGCTTTGGCAGGGGGGTTGGTCTCGATGATCTCTAGAGGTCTCTTCCAACCCCTAGAATTCTGTGATTCTGTGATTTTGAAACACACCTGGTCATTTTCCTGTGTGACCTGCTGTAGGGAACCTGTTTTTGCAGGGAGGGTTGGCAAAGGTGATCTCCAGAGGTCCCCTTCAAACCCTATTGTGATTCCGTGACTCTGTGATTCTATGATTCTTTGATTCTGCATCAGCCTAATAAAATATATGTAGTTGGGATATGGACACCAAATCCAATGCATGTAAAAGAGATAATTTCACAGAACACTGTGAGCAAAATAACCGAGACATACAGTGATGTGCTGATTTAGCCGCAGTGTAAAGAAATTTCTGTTTGCTACACATACAGTATTATTAAACACTTCTGGAAATCACACATTTCTAAGAATATGCTCAGGGGAAAAGAGATAGCTTGTGACAAGGAGTCTAATCCAGAATACAGAAGATTCTCAAACACTGACTTGGGAAACAGTATTTAGTAGCCTCTGTCATAGATTATGAGACCTTGATGCCTAACATTCCCCAGTCTACCAGACTGAAACTCTGCAATTATGGCATCCTGCAACATTAGCACACTCTCACCTTAACAAAACTGTGCTTCAGATTGAAATACAGGTAGCGTCAGAACAAGATAACATTTTTATAATCTATCTGGTAGGCTTCAGTATAGAAACTATATATTGCAACAAACCGATAATGTCCTGCTAGGAGCATTTTGGTGGTGTAATTCCTGGAATTCCACATAATACCGCAGGTAAGCTGTTCTCATCTTCTCCAAACACCTTACAGACAATTTGACTTGTTCTCTTACTACACTCCCCACATAGGTAAAGCCTGTTCTTTCATTCCTTAAGTACCTAAGATCATTTTCAGGAAACAAGCACTCGTGTGTTTCTTCCAGAGAAGCAGGATTGCTTACATAACTTACGTTTTGATGGAACATACTTTTAGAAACCTGGCATCTAAGGAAGAAGCTATCTACCTACATTTAATTTTAGAAAAAGAATCTGCTCATAAGAGTGGCTATGAGTGATCTTTTTAAAACTTTTCCTAAGGAATTTTCCACTGGAACAGGCTGCCCAGGGAGGTTGTGGAGTCTCCCTCTCTGGAGATGTTCAAGACCTGCCTGGATGCCTACCTGTGCGACCTGGTGTAGGGAACCTGCTTTGGCAGGGGGGTTGGACTCGATGATCTCTGGAGGTCCCTTCCAACCCCTACAATTCTGTGATTCTGTGATTCTGTGAATACCTAATGATATTAGTTCTGATGCAATGGATTATCAAACCTGATCTTTATGATCTTATCATAGGAAAAAAAAAGGAGAAA